GGTTCGGGGACAAATTGTGAAATAGAAGAATGGAAGGATTTCGCCCAAATGTCATGTGTATGAAGAAATTTTATGATGCAGTCTGTGTTTCATCCCTTAGCTGTATACAAAGACCGAACTATGTATGTGGGTAGGAGCGGGAATCATCAGCATAGCCCAATATCGCCATGTTTTGAAAAGTCATGTAACTAATTTGCAAGACGGACAAACGAAAGAAAGAGATGTAAGTGAAGAGGCCGATAAAGTGAGAGAGGGAGGAACGAAGGGAAGTTAACACGTGACGCGGACAATCAGTATTTGTAGTTATTAGGAAGAGCTTTTTGTGAGGATAAATTGTTGACTAGGCGTTTAATTTTTCTCCAGGTTCAGGCGAGTCGAGGTTGAGTCGAGAAAATTCCCTCCATATTCCGAGCTTCGAGTTGCATGTGGATAGGATTTTTTCGAGGAAAAAACTCGGGTCGGGCGGGGTCGATCAAATCGATAGGCTAGTTGCGATAAACGGAAAATGCGGAGGAAGAGGAGAGTAAAGGATCGGGAGCGGGGAAAGAGAGGTTGAAGGCCGGAGGATAGTGGGTTAGGCCTTGAGGTCGTAATGGAGGGGAGGGGGACGAGAAACTGTTGACCGCAAAGGAGCTGGGGCCCCGCTTGCAAGTAGGATCTGGAACAGGCTTTGCGGGTGTCCCTCCCTCCTCCCGGGATTTTCGTGTTCAGCTTGAAGCTTGATTCTGAAGGGAAGTTAGCAGGCTTGAACGCGACATCCTAGAATTCCCTTTGTTCAAACTTCCCCCTCCTCCTCCCCCCCTCCCCCCCCCTCCCATCTTACAAAACGATTTTCGCGACTCGAACACGAACCCGTAAGCGAGTGCATTTTGTGTAGTTGAGAGCCGAGCCAGTTTTTATTATCAGTGGTTACAGTGAATTTTCATTTCTCTCAGTACCGTGATGGGTGTTACGTTGGTTGAGGAATTACCATTTGCGCATGTTGTGGATGCGCGATATGCAGATCGAGTATGTGCTGGCTGTATGCGAACGACATGGGAAATGTAAGTCTTTTTTTCTTTAAAATTTATGTCAGTATAATTGTTCTGGAAATTTTTGAAAAATGTAGACTATGAAAGTTTGTTTGGCACATTAGGCCAACCGTTGAAAGGGACACAGTCGGATATTGTCAGTTGTGGGAAAGCAGTGAGTGCTAATTTAGATACCCAGATAATCCTAACTACTCGACCTATTCCCCCCCCCACCCACTAATTTCTAAAAAAATTTCTACTATATTCTAAATAATTCCACATTTTTCACCTTACCTAACGCCCTTATTTACTATTTCCCTCCTCCCCCTCCCCTTTTTTCCCTTCATTAATTTCACCCTTTATAAACCGTCCCGGAAATCCCGGGGGTGGAGTCTTGAAACCAACGCGCGCCACGCCTTGATACGACTAGCATCGTCATCGTTATCGTTGTAATAATGTATTAAGTAATGTTTGAATTCTCATTATTATCATCGTCAGCATCATCATTATCGTTATAATAATACAGTAAGTAACATTACCAAGATCGCTTGGATTATCAGTGTAGGTATTCTCTGTTAGTAATTTTACTGCGGGCGGTGCTCTCACACGCCGAGCTCGGCTTTGCCAGGGCCGTTCAATCTTGGGTTAGTACCCACAACCTTTCCGATGTATGTGCAGCACCTAGGTAATAATAACGACGATAATAATAACGACAATGATGACAACGATGATAATAAAGATAATAATAAATAGCGATAGTAATGGCAACGATAATAATAACAATAATGATAACGGTAATAATAATGGCGATGATAATAATAATAATAACGATAATAATAACAGTAATAATAACAATAATAATGATAATAATGGTGTAGGCATTTATGAAATTTCTGATAGACACCGATGTATTTGTTTTCAGGGATATTGATGCGTTTAAACGCTGTGCTCGTTGTAAATTTGCCCGCTATTGTGATGGCAGTTGTCAGAAGGAGGATTGGTGCAATCACAAGGTAAAACTTCATATTTCGCATCTGTGCGTTAACATATGTAGTTTGTTTGGCGTTGTTGGCCCACCACAGTAGAGAAGAACACAACTGAATTTTTATAATTAATGAAAACGCTGGAAGTGTGCCATCTAGATCTCCCAGATAAGCAAGCCTGTATGTACAGTGACTTGGTAGCCTGTGTCTGTATGTGTTTTATCCCTGAGCTGTAAAAATAGATGGCAGAATTGGTGCGAAATGAGGTGGGAATCATCAGTACAGGTTCCATTTTGCTTGTCAAAAGAGGCATGTATGTGGTAGTGTCAGAAAGTCTAGAAAAAAAAAATTCTTTTATGTGATCCCTTTGCTTAATTGGCTGATTGTAAATGTTTATCAAAGTTTTTGGATTCGAGATGCCGTTAAGCGTTATTGAACTAATAGCTGTTTAAAGTACCAAATTTTTGGTATCGTTAACTGTTTGCTTCTTTTTCCTAATGATGTTTTTATAGTTTTCCGCGATTTTTTTTTTAAATTAGGAATTTTGCGTAAGAGAATTTGTGGTACCATATCCAAATTTTGCGTTTTTTGGATTTTTTTTTTAAACTTTGCCTCGTTTGTTTTAGGCAGAATGTGCATACCTGTCACGTGTTGCGCCACGTGTTCCTGAAACGATACCACGTTTGATTGGCCGTATAATCACGAAGTTGCGCCGTGATGGTGATACTCATGCGGCATTCAATGGACGCCTTTTTTCGTCGCTAAAATCTCGTAAGGTTCTTTTATCTACCTAAAAAGTCGAAAATTTTAATAGCTAAACTGAATAAACTAGTAATTTTACTTGAATATCCTTAAAAAATTTACATCATTTGGCTAATTTCTCTTGCTCAGTGTTTCATATTGGGACGCATGGTACTGAGGTTTTTATTACCATCACACTTCTACCACAGCGCTGACATTCCTGCTTGAAATGACCACTTCTTGGTTGAGCTTCCGTCACCCCTTGTTCCCTTCAAATTTTATTTTAATTTTTGGTAAAAATTGTCGCTGGACATTTTTTCGGTTTTTGATTTTTTCCGCCTCTCTTCGAATTTTATACTTTGAGTGGTCATTTCATACAGCATTTGTCAAAGCGACCGGATTTGGTTGCATTTTTGTCATTTGACAACCAGACTGTGAAGTACAGCTGATCCCTTCGAATTTTATACTTTGAGGGATCATTTCATAGAAATTTTGTCAAAACAACCGGATTTGGTTGCATTTTTGTCATTTGACAACCAGACTGTGAAGTACAGCTGATCTCTTCGAATTTTGTACTTTGAGGGGTCATTTCGTACAACACTTGCCAAAGCGACCAGATTTGGTTGCATTTTCATCGTTTTAAAACCAGACTGTGAAGTACAGCTGACCTAAATAGGTACTCCTAGAAAGTCTGAAAAAAAAAAGAATTTTTTTGTGTGATTCTTTTTTTTAAGTAGTTGATTGTAAATGATTATTCAATTATTCAAGACAGATTATGTGGCATTGGTGGTTTGCAGATGTTGATGATGTTGAAAAAGACGAGAAGAAAAGAACTGGCTTTGCAATGATCATGCACGTTATGAAAGATTACTTTGTTCCAGCAAAATTCCCGTCAAAACAGGAAATTTTTGAAATTTTTTGCAAAGTAAGCACATTTTTTGTAGTGCTTTATCACCCCTCGACTGATAAAATAGAATATTTGTGTTCAGTTTTGTACAATTTGCAAGTTTTTTTTTATTTTATCAGCTAAAGGATGATAAAAATTAGGGTTTTTTTCGAAAACTTTGCGCATTTTAGGATCCAAAGATGTAACGGTGGATTGACTTTAACCTGCACCTACGTATCCGCTTCTTTGGAAAGCAGAGGTACTCAGATGCATCCCCTTTTTTTCGAACAAATTTTTGTTGATAATTGCTTTTTTTTTAGATTTTAATCAACGTGCTTGTGGTGACAGATAACTGTTTAAATGAAATTGGTAAAGCGCTTTATCTCGGGTATGTTATTCAAATTTCTGTTTCTCAAAAATTGAGTTTGTTCTTATTTTTCTTTTCGTTCGATTGCCACTTCGGACTTCGAGTATTTTCTTTAGAGTTTTGGTCGTTTTGAATTAAATAAAAATGTTTGTTTTGCCGGAAGCAGTGGTTGTTATGATGAATTTTGTTATAATTTTCAACCTGGATGCTCTGTTTATGCAGGGAAGCAAAGATGAGGGTATTCTTTCAGTCCTAGCAGCAGTCTAATTCCTCTTGTACTCTTTTCATTGTAAAAGCGGCGGCCAGTAGCCTAAATTCATGTAGCTTAAAAAGTGAGGATTTCGTCTAGTTGTGAATTTATGGGGACGCTGGATCTCCACACTGATCGTAATTCGGCCAGTTTTGGTGTTCCTGATTGAAGATTTGAATGGATTTTAACTTAAATTTTTTTCCAGACTTTCTGGCTTGGATCATAGCTGTAATCCGGACGCATTCGTCATTTTCAATGGCTCAAAAGCAACTTTGCGATCGCTGAAAGATGATGTAACACAATATAGTGACAAAGTATCGTTATTGCTGATTTTTTTCTTTTTTTTCTTTTTTTTTTTTTGATTAATTCACTTTTTACAACAATAGCGCAACAAACTTCCAAGCAATTTTTGGAAAATGGAAAAATCAGAGGAGATCGGATGATTGTTGTTGAAACATGTTACTGATCGGTCTAATTTTGAGTATTTCTACTCCCCACAGGCGACAAACGTTCAGGGGGGAGGGGGGGG